GTAGCTGACATATTTTCTTTCTTACTGTGTAAAATAAGAATCCTTTAAAGATATTAATTATTGCATTTATCCTCTTACTCTATCCTAGAAAATAATTTCACAAAGCACCAAAGGAAACTTAATATTTAGAATACTCCTGTAAAGAGTGGCAATTTCTCAGAAGACTGAATCTGAACATATTATACAATTGAGCAATTGCAGTCTTGGACATTTTTCTCAGAGATATAAAGACATGTTGTTGTTGTTGTTGTTGTTGTTGTTGTTGTTGTTGTTGTTGTTTGGTGCCTTCAAGTCGTAGACGACTCATAGCGACCCTATGAACGAACAGCCTGAGCACTGTTCGTACATAGAGTTTCCGGAGGCAAGCCATTTCGGAAGTGGATGCCGCTCCTGCTTCCAGGCTTGATTTAGTCAGGAAGCTCCAGCCAACACTGTCCACCATGGGTGCCCATTACCACGATTGGCACATCACTGTCACAGTCTTCAGCATCACAGCAACCACAAGTTACCTCTGTACAGCAACGCACAGACCAGTGCTATACCACCTAGAAGAATGTTTGACAGGAAAACAATTTGCACCTAGCCGAGGGCTGCAGATGAAAATCACCCACCTTCGGCTTGGTAGCATAACTTCCTTTCCAGGAGGCCAACGTGGCTCTCTGTCATTGTTGTTGTTATTGTTGTTTGGTGCCTGTACACACAAATGTTTATAATAACTTTACTTATAATAGCAGAACACTGCAAATAAAACCAAATGTCCTTCAACTTTTTTTTTAATTTGATGAGTTATGTATTTTACTGCACATGTTCTACTTAATTTTAAATTAAAATATTTCTGTTTATCTTGATAGCATTTATATGTGGTGGTGGTGGTGATGGTGGTGGTGGTGGTAGTGGTAAGTGCCATCGAGTCATAGACAACTCATAGCAGCCCTGTGAACGAAAGACCTGAACACTTGTATAACTTTCACCATTTTTCCAGGTTCATAGGGTTTCTGGAGGCACGCTCTTTCGGAAGTGGATGCCACTCCTGCTTCCAAGCTTATTGTAATAGGGGAGCTCCACCAAACACTGTCCACCACGGGCAACCATTATCACACTTGACATATCAGGGTCAGTGTTCAGTATCACAACAACCACGAGTTACCTCTGTACAGCAAATGGACAGTCCAGTGCTATACCACTAAGAAGAATGTTTGACCAAAAGCAATTAAAACCAGGCCTGAGTGCCACAGATTAAAATCACCCCCTTTGGCTTGGTAGCATCACTTTCTGTCCACTAGGCCCACTGAGTCTCTATGTTATTGTTGTTGTTGATAAGTGCCATCGAGTTGTAGACTACTCATAGCAACCCTATGAATGAAAGACCTGAACACTTGTATAACTTTCTTTGTTTCTGTGCTGATGTGGGAGCATTTAGAAAAAAATTTTATTTTGTGTAGGGTTTCAGTCTTTTATGATAGTATTAGCATTTTTGTTAATTCATAATTCAATTAAAAGCAACCATTTGCTGATTAGTTTTGTTTAGAGTCAGGAGAGCAGCACTTCTAAAAATGTATGTAATAGAAATTCTACTTAGGTTTAAAAACGAGAGTAAATTTGCCTGTAATACATGTTCATGTCTCAGAACATGGGGGAGAGGAGGAGTCACATTACTGTTGTTTAAGGTGTAATATTTATTCTCTCTGATGTCTCCTGGAAGATTGTTTTTGGTATCAAATACGGCAAATGTTTTTTGATTGGCTGAAGATGAGTGTGAAAGTTCTGCACACCTGTGGTTCTGATGCATCATGGTCTTCAGCTAGAGGAAAGACCCAAGGGGCTGTTGCCAGAAAGACAAGCCAAAATCCAACCGACCCACTTGCCATCAAGGTGATTCCAACCCGTGACCCTACAGGACAGAGTAGATCTGCCCCCACCATTAGCAGACAAGCACTTATCCACTGTACCAGCAGGGCTCCAAACTGTAGAGTCTAGAAAATTCTCCAAGTCCATTTTACTCTGTATTTTTTAGAGTCACTCTCACTCACACTCATTGTCCCGTAGTCAGAACCGCCTCGCAGCTAACCCTCCCGCGGGTTTGTAAATCACATGGGGAGGGGATTGCCCATGTTTTTCCCACAAAACCACTCATGGATTGGATTCAAACCACGTGCGTTTGGGTGGACAGCACAACTCCTTACCAGAGAATGAACAGGCCTGGCGTCACTATCAACCCCATGCAACAGGAGAGCTAAAACCAGCATTTTAAGCAGTGAATATCACTTTACGGAGATGTTAGAAGATTCCATTGTTCCTCCAAATAGAAATCCCGGGAATATCTTCTGCTGGGTGTTGAGTAGATGACTTGGTGTGTGGAGTTTTGACAAAGCCATGGATCTTGGCTGCTTTACCTGGGATATGTGTAGATGAAGGAACCGAGCTGACTTCAATGTTCTTTCTGACTGTGGAGATGCCCTCGCTGGGCGTCAGCTCAGTGGTTCCTTTACCCATAGCCTTAGTAGCCATCACAGGTGATTCTCAGGAACTTTGCTCGCTTAATCACAACTCTCCTTCCTAGCCCACCAGCAACAGCTGTCCCCGGCATTTCCTTCACACTCTTTCTCTCCACTCAAGACAAATTACCTATTTTATTCTTTTTACCTTTATCCTTAGAAACCTCCTCATTTCTCAACATTTTGTATTTATAATAACAGTAAAAATCTGCTGTTTTTCACATTGTTAGTGTACATTGGGCAGTAAAGAGCTCAGGGGTATGAGGTGAGAGTAGCTGGCTGGCCTGCTTATGGGTCTGTGTCAGCTTGCCTGAGCCGTGATTTCAATGACTTTTCACTCATGTGTTACTATAGGTTGACAGGTCTGTTACGTTCTAGTCATTCTCCATCTTTTAATTAAATGTGGTTGTCAATCTGCTTTTTTGCATAATTGTTATTATTGTATACCACTGAGTCAGAACCGGCTCATACCTAACCCTCCAGTGGGTTTTCAGAGACAGTTAATCAAACAGGAGGACATTGTCCATTCTCTTCCCCTGGAGCAACTGGTAGATTTGAACCAAGCTTCTTCGAGATTGCAGTACAGCTTCTTAACCACTAGGCCACCAGAGCTCTAATGACTTGGTTTGGAAACCTAACCAAAATATGAGATTGATAAGTGAGGAGTATACAGCTTCTTTCTTAAAACTCTCCTGTTGATATTCAACTTCTGCATGTTGTTGTTGTTGTTACGTGCCTTCGAGTCACCTGTGACTCATAATGACCCTATGTACAACAGCTCTAAACTCTGCACTATCCCGTGAAAGTCTTATTGTCTCTGACACACCTATCCCCATTACCCCCATCAGTGAATCAATCCATCTCATTGAGGGCCTTTCTCTCCTACGCTGTCCCTCCACCTCCCAAGCATGATGTCCCTCTCTAAGGACTGATCCCGCCTTGCAACATGTCCAAAGTATGTCAGATGAGGCCTCAGAATCTTTGCCTCCAAGGAGCAGTGTGGCTTCACCCTCTCCAGGATGAACTTGTTTGTTCTCCTAGCAGTCCATGGTATACTCAGTACTCTTCTCCAGCACCACAGCTCAAAGGCATCAACTCTCCTACCCTCCCTGGTCATTGTCCAGCTCTCTGATGCATAGCAAGTAAATGCAAAGGCCATGCCCTGGACCAGACACACCTTATCTCCAGACTGACATCACTGCTCTTTAGTACTTTGGAGAGGTCTCTGAAATCAGACTTTCCCAGTGCAGTTTGTCTTTTAATTTCCTGGCTGCTGATACCAAGAGTGTTGATTGTAGAGCTTAGCAAACTGAAGCTGTCAACAATCTCAGTCTCTTGACCATCTATCATGATACTGCCAGTTGGACCATTGGTGAGAATCTTTCTTTTGATATTGAGACTCAATCCATATTGAAGGCTGCAGTCCTTGACCTTCTGCAACAAGCGTTTCAGGGCCTCCTCAGTTTCAGCAAGCAGAGTTGTATCATCTGCATAACGCACATTGTTAATAAAAACCTATCATCTCTATTTTCCATCTCTGGGGCTTAACGTATTACTCACTGGGCTACTAACTGAAAAGTGCAGGGTTTGAATCCACCAGCTGTTCCTTTGAAGAAAGATGAGCACTCTTCTTCCATTAAGATTTACAGCATCACAAGCCCAGTGAAGGAGTCGACTCTGAGCCAGTGGTTTTGGTTTGGGTTTTGATTTTTGGTACTTATTTCCACTTCATATTTTTTCAGTGACTTTTATTTTCTTTTTTCATAATCTTCTGAAATTTATCTTTCTATTAGGAGAGAGAGAGAGAGAGATGCTTGTGATTACTTGACAGTTAAATTTAAGTAGTTGAATGTGGTTGGAGAAACTTTCCATTAGTAGTAAAGCACAAGATTATGATTGTTCTCTAAATTTGGGAAGAATAATTAGTTGTGATGTTTACATTTGCTTTCAATTTACCTATGGTAAAGCATTTCTGTTTACCCACACATGCATATTGTTCTCATTTTCTCTTTCATCTTAAAGGGAAAAATGTATCCACTATTTGAAGGTGTTACATAGTAAAATGGACTGTAAGCGCCGCAGACACTGTAAGGAGGGCACAGCATCCAGCAGGGTTTCTTCTGCTGCATGTAGGGTTGTGATGAATCAGAGCCAACTTAAAATAGCCCGACACACCCATACAAGCATCTTTAGTCCTATAAACATCAATGAGAAGGGAGACTAGGAATAGTGGGCGTTGGCCTTTGAAAGACCAATTGTTGTTATTGGCATCTTTTTCTTTCTTTTACCTTCTCGTGTGGAAATTTCCAAATGACCAGCCAATTCTTTCTGTATGTAGATGTTAAATAAAAAGGGCACTTTCATATTACAGTGTGACTTGCTTTAAATAGTTCATATCTTGCTTAGCCTGTGAGAAGCATTAAAAATAACAAAGGTCACTTTGTCATGATAATATGATTTCTCCTATAAAATCTCATCTTCCCTTTTTTTTCTTTTTAAATCTAGGTGACTGTGGGGATCATGTTGTCATAATGAACACAAGACATATAGCCTTTTCTGGAAACAAATGGGAACAAAAAGTATATTCCTCACATACTGGGTAAGATGATGACATTTTCAAGGAAGATAACTGGTTTGAATATATTACTTTCCCCCCTCTCCTTTACCAAATTTAATTAAATGTGTGAATACTAATATGAATACTAATGATATCATTTTAAAAGAAAAATGGTATTTTAAAAAAAATTATCATCCCAACTTGATATCAACACAACTTGATGATTTTTCTTGAGGGTAAGACCCTGCCCTATTTACAGGTGTATCCCTGCATGTAACATAACTAACATTCAGCATGTGCTTATTGGATTTATTTAAATTGTCTAACTCCTTCAAAGAGCTGAACATAGAAATTCCATATGATCCAGCGGTTCCACTGCTAAGAATATACCCTGAGAAAATTAGAACTAAAACACAGAGATTTATACACCAATGTTCATTCATAGCAGTGTTATTCACTATCAGATGAATTTGGAAACAGCCCAAATGTCCAATCTCAATAGAATGGATTGAGAAATTGTGGTGCATTCACATGATGGAATATGCGGCATGGAGGAGCAGTGGTTTTGAAAATTACCATCTAACCTGGGAGAGATGGGAGAGCACTATGCTAAGTGAACTAATTCAAGGCCCACAAGGACATATACTGTATAAGATCATTATTGTAGAAATAGATAACTAGTAAAACGTGTATGAGGATCCAAGCAGGGAGGGTAGGAGCAAAGGGGTGAGAATGGGCTGGGGAATAATTATAGAATCGCACAATTTAATGGGTAGAAGGAGGCATGGGTGCAAGAAATGGGAAAGATCCAGTGTGAAATAAAATAAAAATAAAAAAAATAATCTGTATAACTCCTGACAAGCATTTAAAATAAATTTTCTCCACCCAGGCTATGCCATACTAGTGGAAGAAATGTAGTTATTTTTCACCAATAAAAATTAACCTAGCATTGGCTACTCAAAAGGCATTTTCCTCCTCTGAATTTTGCATTAGTATGCTGTATCTTCCAGGATAAATTCCAGACTTTTGACATATAGTGTGAATGGTAGTGTGCTTTTAAAATTTACCATCTCAGTGTTAAAAATAGAAAATTTTTAGTGTAGGAGTTGGAAAGTTCTTTTTTTTTTTTTCCGTGGGGAGAAAGCCTGCAGGAACAACAGTCTAGACAGGTGTTTCTTTGTCTGAGACAGAAATTCAACCAAGTGCAGAAATGAAAAGCAATTTGAAAGCTGCTGCTTCTTTCTCAGCAGACTTTTATATTTTACTCTTAAAATTTGATTCCTGCAGCATGGCCTCTTGAGTCATCTTTCAGATGCTTTCATTTCTCACTGGAAGAAACCTTGGAAAGGAATTCAGTTTAGAGCATCTGAAGGCTTCTGCGTTGTCCGCTGAATCATGAGTTCAGTTTAGAGCATCTGAAGACTTCTGCATTGTCCTTTGGTTTTTCTCTTTTCCTCCTTTTGTTACTATTATTTATACTGTATTCATCTAGCATAGTAATAAAACTTTGTGTAATTGGTTGATTGTTTTTTTCCCCTTAACATTTTCCCAAACATTTTCTCATTTGTCTTTCCTAAAGTCTCTGTGAATGAGATGGACAGCTATCATCATTATGTTTTAGATGACTGTTTAGAAATTATTATTATTTGCCTTGGATTAATTATTTAGGGAACCAATGAGAAAATTTACATTCCATACCTGAATCTTGAGTAGTATACCAGCTATTAAAATGTATGCAATAGAATCCCAAATCTTTGTTTTTAATTTCCACTTTATCTATTTTATATGTAACATTTTATCTTAACACAATTAAATATTTTATTGATTAGCCCTAAATTGACTTTTCATAGCTGTCAGTGACCCCTAACTGTTAAAAGGAAATAATCACCTGTTTTCTAAAATAGCAACTTGACTTCGGCACCAATTGGCCTACCAACAACTGTATGCCTGGCTCGTGCAGACACACGCTAGGTCTAATTTGGCATGGAATGTACACTCTACAAGCTCATCATTCTTTTCTTTTTTTTTCATTTCAAGCAGTAAAAACAGCTTGTCCCAATGCAAGTGAATGAATGAATGGTGAATAAGTCAAAATTCAGATAAAATGAAGTTATGCAAAGGAAATTTTCGAAACAAGAATTGTTTTTATGGAACAATGATTCTAGAACACTTAAGAGAATATTTCAGATAGCCTAGAGTATTGCTTAATTTACTGAACATCGTCATTTCTAGAAACTACTATGACTTCATAATGAAGATAGTTTCTTATGATAAAAGAAATGTTCCATGAAAGAATATGATGGCCTACTCCCACCTCGATGTGCTTGCTTCTTTTAACAGCTACCCCGGTGGATTCAGACAAGTAACCGCGGCTCAGCTTCACCGCAAGGACCCGGTGGCAGTAAGTCTTCAGTATTTTTCATTCTAACGGCTCAGTGGTAAGGAGTCATGCTGCCAACCCAAGGATAAGTAGTTCTACTCACTCTGTAGGAGAAAGGTGGGCACTCGCTCCCATGTGATTTACTGCCTCTGAAAGCCCACTGGAGGGTCAGCCGCGAGTCGGTTCTGACTCAGCGGTACACCAACAGTCCGGGGCAAGACTGCTTCAGACACTCTCTTTTCAGTTTTCCTCTTGTAGCTGCTGTTCAGAGCTAGACATTGTTCATCTTCGCTGTGCTCATCTTCGCTGTGCCGTATAATTATTGTTTGCATATTTTTATATTTATTTCTTTGCTTTGCATTTTGTTCCAAGAACTTTGTCATTCTTTTCAATTGTTAATGCCTGCATAACTGCCTTGAATGTGTTACGGATACTTTGAAAATTTATTTATGTGACGATGTGGCTCGTTTTCACGTAGGCTGGTCCATTTGATCATCTCTATTTATTGCTTTAATATATTTCAGTGCCCTCTTACATTTCTTTAAATGTATTAAGCCTAATCCTTAACATTATGTTTCTTCTATCTGTGCTGTTTGTGAGTCTATAATTTATTGTTTCTGCTCAGGATAACTTGGTAAATTTGTGCACCTTGGAATGCCCTTGGTAGAAATTCGTTGAGCCGTATGTTAAAAATTAGTTCCTTTAGAAAGATTTACGTAGCTTTTGGCAGGTGTGTGGGACTATACCCGCTTAACTCCAAATCCACCAAAACCGCTGCTGTCAGCTCGAGTCCAGCTCTGTCTTTCTCCTGCAGAATGATTTGTGGATTCGAATTACTAACCTTTCAGTTAGCAGACCAATACTTTGCACACTACCATGGAGACTCTTCATACCAACCTAAGAATTAAATTTTTACTTACCGGACTTTGATTCCCAGGAAGAAAATGAATTTTGAGCCTTAGAGCTGTGAGATAATGCTCACAGTAGGACACTGTCTTAGTTGTGTGGTGGTATTCAACAACCACATGTAAATGGCTTTAATGGACAGAAATTTATTTTCTCTCAGGTTAGGACCCTAGAGGTCTAAGTTTAGGATGCCAGCTCTGGTGGCATAACGCATTGCGAGTTAGGCTGCTAGCTGAATGGTCAGCAGTTTGAATCCACCAGCTGCCCTGAGAGAGAACGAGAAGCCAGGCTCTGTCCACAGATCTTTCTTGCCGTGGCAGCCTGATGGCAGGACTCCACAAATCAGAAGACCACAGGCGTTCCCTGAGATTTCCTTCCTTCTCCGGGGGCACAGTCCTCATTCCTTGTCAACTGCTGGGGATCCTGGCCTATTTATCCTTCCCTTCTATTTGTGCTTTGAAAGAAATTATTTTAAACCAGGAGAAATCTCTAATCTAGATGTTGTTCTCAGTGTTGCTTAAAGACTTTTTACAGTGTTTCATTAGCCTAATAATCAAATCTAATGGACTTGCCATCAGATCAATTCCAATTTCTAGTGACGCTACTGGGAGTGCTAGTGGCCAAGTGGTAAGAAACTGTGCTGCAGTCTCAAAGGCCTTTGGTTTTAATCCACCTTCCACTTCTTGGGGGAAAGATGGGCAGTCTCCTGTGCAATTTACTGACTCTGAAAACCTGCTGGAGGGTCAGGTATAAATCATTCTTGACTCAGTGGCCCACAGCATCAACAGTGTGTGTCATTATAGAACACAGTGGAACTACCCCGGAGGGTTTTCTATACCTCGGTGTTTATGAGAGCAGATTGCCAAATCTTTTCCTACAGAGCTCCATAGACTTGAACTGTCAACCTTCATTTAGGAGCTGAGCTATCCACCACTGCCGCCAGGAGTCTGTTAACTCTTCCTAGAACTAGACATTTGACTATACTCTCAAGGTGTGCGACATTTTCTCCAGCAGGACTATTTTAGCTTTTTAAAGACATATACTTAAAAATGAGCCAGTATTAAACTGTGAAGCTATCTTATTTCCATAAAGTAGTGAATAAAAAAAAAGTATGTTGCCAGGACACAACCAATTGTTTGGTACTACTGCCTCAAAGGGAACACTGGTCACTTAATGATGAGGAGTTGTACTGCCAGTCCCAAGGTTCGAGGTTCTAACCCACCAGCTGTTCCACAGGAGAAAGCTGAGCAGTCTCCTCCCGTGCAGTTTACGGCTCCTGAAAACTCACTGGAGGGGCAGCTGTGAGTTTGTTCCAACATAATAGTCCATAACAACAACTGCTTAAAATATTCCTGGTAAAGGAGGAAGCAGTAGTCTGTTAAAATAAATTTTGACTTACATTGAGACGTTTCATGCTTCATTTTTACCTTTATATGTTGTTGTTGCTATGTGCTGTTGAGTCACCTGTGACTCATAGCGACCCTTGTACAACAGCCCTAAACTCTGCTCTGTCCTGGGCCAATCGCACCATCTCCGATACACCCATCCCGATTACCCCAGTCACTGAATCAGTCCACCTCATAGAGGGCCTTCCCCTCCTGCACTGTCCCTCCACCCTCCCAAGCATAATGTCCTTCTCCAAGGACTGGTCCCTCCTTACAACATGTCCAAAGTATGTTAGACGGAGCCTCAGAATCCTTGCCTCCAAGGAGCCACCCGCTTTAACCCTCTCCAGGACAAATCTGTTTGTTTTCCTAGCTGTCCGTGGTATTCTCAATACTCTTCTCCAGCACCACAGCTGAAAGGCATCAATTCTCCTTCTATCCTCCTTGGTCATTGTCCAACTCTCTGATGCATAACATGTGATCCTTTCTATACCACATCTATTTCACAAAAACACTCGGAAAATTGCTTTATAAGGAAATATTTAATGGTCAAGTTTATAATGAGTATATTTTTGACTGCTAAAAGTGAAAAAAAAAACAACATGTTAGAAAAAAGCAGCAGAGGGTCAGAGAAAGTGAAAGACCCTCAAGATGGATGGGTGCAGTAATGGAAACAGGGGTCACGAGGAGTACACAGCAGAGGGCCAGGCTTCAGTCTGTTTTTCCTAGGATTGCCATGCGTCATAACTGGCGTGGCACCTAGTAGTGTTTTGACTAGTAAAATAGTTTGCAAATAATGGTATTAAAAAGTCGTAGGTTTCTGAGAACTTATACTGTAACCATTACAAAATATTCTTGTAACCTGTAATAAATACATTTTTGTTTGTAAAATTAAATATTGCTCTGTGCCACTGAGTCAGAAGTGACTCATAGCTAACTCTCCAGTGGATTTCTCAGAGGCAGTAAATAGCACAGGAGGAGATTGTCTATCTTCAGCAAAATTTAAATACTGGTTCTGTTTTATTCAGATATGTTAAACGTACACTAGGGGGCAGTATGGCTTAACTTTGTAATGCTAAAGAGTTTGCACAGAGTAACATTTGTTCAGCGTCTTTTTTGTGAGCAAAGATTTAAAGGCATTATAAAATGTTTGATTAAAAACTTGAAAAATTTTCACTATTGAATTAATTTTAATCACGTTAAAAGATCTTCCTTTTTTAAAGGTTTTAATTGACTTTGTATTGTAAAAAAGAACAGTTTGTTAAGGGAGGTCAGTTATTTTATGTTTATTTCAGACACTGTCTGGAATAGTTAGTCTTTTGCCAGAAGACAATTTTCTAATCATTACTCGGTTATGTAGTTTTTAGAAGATTTGTTTTATAAAGCAGCCTTTTGATTATCAGTATAGTCATAGAATATGATTTGTAAAAGACAGTAAGAATATTTAAATAGCATTTTGATATATACTTTTTAATAATTACACAAAACAATTTATAATTAATTCTAAATCTCAAGTTAATTCTAATCTCAAGTAAAAATATATTGAACTAGACTTTCTCTTACATCTTTTCACCATACTGTTGTATTTTTTTATTTCTTTTGAGAGTTTTTTTCCTTTTTTTCCCCCCTTTGCTTTCCCTCCCTTCTACTTCATTTAGTAAAGTTATTTTGTGTGAAACAAATGAATAACTTATGTCCTGGGCTATTGTAAAAGGAAAAAGAACCTTAACAGTTACTAGCTTATTTTGTCTCTCTTTGAGGAGCCCAAGTGAAACAGTGGTTAAATGTTCGACCACTAACCACAGGGTCAGCAGGTTGAGCCCAGCAGCCACGCTGTGGGAGACTAAAGTAGCAGTCGGCTTCCAGAAAGATAGACAGCCATCAAAACTCTATTAGGGAGCTCTGGTGGCCTAGTGGCAAGAAGCTGCACTACAATCCCAGAGGTATGAGGTTCAAATCCGACAGATGCTCTGCTGGAGGAGGGGCAATCTCCTCCTGTACCAGTCAGATCCAGTGTGATGGTCCTCGCACAAAATAGCAAATTTAAAAAAAAACACAAAAACCCAAAAACTCTATTGGGTAGTTCTGTCCTTCCCTACAGGGCCATGGTGGGTGGGAATTGACTTGATGACAGTCCATTTGGGTTTGTTTTGTTGGAGTTTGTCTTGTTTTCCTAGAATCTTTGTTTTGTTTTGTTTTGTTTTGTCTTTCCACTTCCTGAGTTCTTTAGCACTTAAGCTTAACATCTTTATAGCCATTAAATCATCTGAATATAGATCACTGTATTAGCAAGTGTAGGTAACACAGCCTATGGTTTGCATGGTTTTGGGGTTGTTTTTGGTTTTGTTTTTTTAAAGTTATATTTACTTAAAAGGGAACTCTGGTAGCCTGGGGAGTAAGAAGTTGCACTGCCAACCCAAAGGTGAGTGGTTCGAACCTACCAGCTGCTGCACAGGGAAAAGTCGGGCAATCCCCAGCACCGTTTACAACCTCTGAAAACCCACTAGTGGGTCAGCTATGAGTTAGTTCCAGCGTGAAAACACTTAACAACAAGAAGCATTCACTTGACTTGGAGAGCCAAGACATTAATATTAAAAAAAAAAAAAGCTCTCTTGAAAAAAATGCAACCATAATACAGAAAGGAAACCCTAAAAATGTATACTCTAATAAGGGAGGGGAAAAGACACACAAAAAAATTGTGACATAACATGTATATGCAATTTTCACAGATGTAAGCATAAGTACTCCAGAACTCAGGAAGTGGGAAAGGTTGAGCATAAAAACTCCTCTAAGAAAACAGAAGTCAGTCCCACTGTTCCCACCCCACCCTCACCCGCATCAAAACCAGCTATAATTAGGATGTGATAAAATATTTCAGTCGTGGGTGCTGATACAAACGTAGAGAAGTTCTTCTGCCTACATTAACAAATGTACAGGTTATTTTCACCTCTTCCTTTTGTGTTTTTGGCTTTTTTACCCTCTAAATAGAAAAAGCCCAATTGGAATAGCAATAAAAGTAATGAAGCTTGGCGTTTCTGTCCCTCCAGTGAATCTGCTTAGGTCTGCTTTCATTCTTCTCATTGCATGCCTGGTCTGAGCCCACGTGGCTCGTCAGCATCTCTTAGTGTATTTGTCTCTCTTCTCTCAAGTCGCCTTTTCCTCACTGAGCCCCACCTATCACTTTTTCAGATTGTCAAGCTAGCTATTTATGGCATGCTGCCAAAAAACCTTCACAGAAGAACCTTGATGCAAAGGCTGCATCTTTTTCCAGATGACGTAAGTGCCATTGATCATTGGTAATGACACTTTCCCTAAATTCCTATTAAATATTTGTTTCTCTTTAAATAATTAGAATTTTTTTCAATTTCATAAATCAACTTTTAAAATACCCCTTGTATTTTTAAAGTAAGTGCATCATAATAATATTTCCTCCTTTATAATCTCTGAGCTAAAACCAAAATACTGGAAGCTTTACTTTTAATTTTGATAGCTGTTTCCTTTGAGAAGAAACAGTGATGAAATCCTTGGCTACATTGTGGGTAATCATTAGTAGTTTCATGTGACCAGTAACAGAACTTCCAAGAAATATATTACTAACTTGGCTTTCAGTTGTTAAATACGTGGCTTTCCTCCTTAATCAATAAGAGTTATCAGGAGCTCTATAATGAAATGGTTGAGTCCAGAGTACGGAATCAGACTGCCTGCGTATGGTGTCCATGCCCTCCTGTTTACCAGCTGCATGGCCATGTGGTGGTGCCTCTTTCTCTCTGTTCCCTCATCTGTAAAACGGACATGATGGTCATACCTACTTTGTAAGATTAATAAGTGAGACAATACCTATTAGAAGAGGATCTGGGACAATAAATATTTGTTGCTGAAATTAAGATTTGAGTTTGGACCAATTTATGAAAGGTGAGACTGTTGATAAGTCAAACGCCATGAGTATATGGGGAGAAATGAAGCCAGAGAGAAGGGCTAGGGGTGAGGATGCTGGTTTAGCCAAGAACTTAGAACTTCATCCTGAGAAAGTTTGACAGTTGGTGTTTTTAGAAATCGAAGCCCTCAGAAGCCATGAGCTTATTTGTATTTTATTTGTATTATGTACTCAGTATCTAATATGGGTCATAGAAAGATCGACAGAACTGTTTGTTGAACAAATAACCCAAAAATCTAGAGATTTCATTTTGGAAAACATTTTCTGGCAACAAATACAAATACTACAGATAAAAAGTAGTCGTGGCCCACAAAGCAGTAGGCCTAGTCCAGATATTTCCAGTGAAAAATCCAGACTTAAGAACCAAGACACTGCCTTCTGATGTAGTAAAGAAGCTGTGGAAGAAAACTAAATTTTAAAAGTTTTTCTTTTTAAATGTAGGACATTCCCGAAGATATTCTTAAAAATTTAGTGGAAGAGCTTCCTCAGCCCCGGAAAGTGCCCAGGCGCCTGGATGAGTACACGCAAGAGGAGATTGACGCTTTCCCGCGGCTCTGGTCTCCGTAAGTGCTCCTTGCTCTGCCTCCCTTTTTTTTTTCTTTCTCTCTCTCTCCTTCTGTTTGTCTCTGAGTGTGAGCTGCAGTTGGTATCATGTCTTGAACCAAATCAGCGTGTGGTCCTTGATGGTGGAAGAGTGATCTTTTTTCCTTTTAAATTCCCTTAGAAATTGCAGCTCCTACTCACAGGATAGGACAGGGTTCGGATCCGGTGTTAAAAGGGTCACTACGGGTCATATTTGACGGCACATAACAATGACAAGAACAGTGACTCAGATCTGGTTTTAAGAGGGTCACTAACAAGGACAACAACAACGACTTTGCTCAGCAGATGTGAGGCTGTTCATAGCCACCAACCACTGCACTGTCAGTTTCTCAGGGACCTGTTGTCAGGCTTCCCAAGTCTAACCCATTACGATGGAGACTGGTCCTCTTTCTTCCACAGAATGGCTGATGGAGTAAATCTGTTGACCTTTCAGTTAGCAGCCTACAGTGTTGTGTACTGTGCTATCAAGACCGCTCATAGCTGTGTATAATTGTCAGGTATTTGGGGCAGAGTGTATTTGACCATAGTCTGATGGACCTGTCACTTTTTTAGATTGTGTCAACAAGTGGAGACTCTCATCTAAAGAAAAGTCCTTCATTCTGGATTGTTATAGTGTTGACAGAAATACAAAAGAAACAGCACTTTTCTCTCTTCGCACAGGTTCCTCTGCCCATCATCTATAGGAGCTGCCTGGCTGTTCCTTGCTGTACATTTCCCAGACTTCATCTCATCACTTTTTTCTAGGCTCCTACCTGGATCCTGCCCCCCCCCAACTCTTCAGCCTATTGCTTCCTTCCCCTGCTCTGTTTTAGTGATAGTAGACTGTTTAAGCCTAGTAACCCCTTAATCCCCCCAGTGCAATTCCATTCTCCTTTCTCATTTGTACTCTGTATTCATTGTCCTCCTGTTGTTATTAATGATAGCCTTTAAGTCTTGGGTTGAAATCTCTATGGGAGAACAGCTGGTCTTTTCTCCTGTGGAACAGCCAGTGGGTGTGACCTGTCAGTCAGCAGCTGGGCTTGAGCCATGGTCCCACCATTCTTGTCTGCTATTCTTTTTGCCTGAAATAGCGAGCCCCTCACTTCTTCCTCTCCTCTAGATGTAACTCTTCCACCTTCTTGAGACATTTTTAGTTCAGATGTCCTCTCCTTTAGGAAATCTTCCCTGAATGAAATTTCTAGACCAAGTGTCCCCACATGCTGCCGTATCACCTGCTGCATATCTCAATGTCCACCACATTAATGCTACACCTTGGTCATTGTTTCACCACCAGGGAACAGAAAATACTTCAGATGATGATGTTCTTAGATACTGTTGAGTTAATGTTGACTCTTAGTGACCCCTTCTACAACAGGAGAAAGCACTGTCTCTTGACTTGCATGTAGGTTCCCCCCACACACTGAAGTGTTCTGGAATTCCCATTCTTCGCACCGTTATCCATCATTTGTTACAGTCCACACAGGTGAAACTGCGCAGTCAACACAGTAAGATGTTTTCATGAAATTGGCCGAAATCCAGGATTAGAAAACCAAAAGGGAAAAACTTGCGAAGAAAAAAAAAATAAACCTCATGGTAGAATATAGAGGAATTCACATGTTCACTCTGACAGTAGTTGGGTTTGTCAAAACCAAATGAACAATGAGGAAATAAAAGCAGGGAAGGGAATACACAGTCAGTGGATCCCAGGTGATGATGCCTCGGGAATGTTAACACAATTCACGTGCATGTGGAGAAAGCCTAGATCCTTGCTATTGATCCTACACAAGATGGCTAAACTTCCCAAAGATGCTATTCACCCGACATTTTCTCCTTTATATTTGATGCACATGAATACATGTACGTGTGAACATTCAAATCGTGCAGAGGGCCTTTGTAATGGGGTGGAAAACGCACTACTAGTTCTCTCCCTGTTTTTCTGCTAAGTTCTGAGCACTCCAGTTTATTTCCATTTTGGTTTCTTCTGGCAGATCCCTCCCTAACTCTTAAGTGATATGCTCATGTTTCTGTTTCAAGGTTCCTCAGTATCAGACCGTGACTTCCTACGCTGTAAGGTGCCAGGCTCACTCACACTTGACCATGATACTTACTTAATTCCCTCTGTGGTTTTTGTAGTTACTCCATTTTTCTCTTTTTAAAGAGGCTTGACTCTGAGAGCTACTTGATGCCTTTTCTAATTGCTGCCCTGGGAGTGGGCTTTCATGCCCTTTGTTTTCATTCCTATTTCCCTGTGGCCGGAATACACATTAGATTCCACACTTGCCTGGCTGCTGTGCTGACATTGTGGTCTTTCCTCACTAGTGGTCACAAATGTTAACATGTGATCCCAAAATAAGGTTGAGAATATATTCTTACTGAAATTGAAGGATATCAGCTCAGGATAGGTTTAACGTAAATCACCTGACATTTTATACTCCCTGCACATCGACGCCAACATCAAATCCAGGTGGTGTTTATGACCAAGAAATACATATGACTAGGAAAAAAATGGATTTTTTTTTTTATTAAGCAGAAACTTATCCAAAACATTGACTTGTTTTTAAATTCAGGGCTGACCAAGAAACTCTGAAATAATGAGAAAGGTTGGCATCTGCACTAAAACAGTGACTCCTGACCACATATGGCTAATGGGCATTTAGAGCATTTGCACTAAGAAACTAAAGTGTGACCTTGAATTTAAATTCATAATCGTTCAAATAGCCTAACTGCTAGTGACTACGATACTAAACCATGCCATTTTAATTATTTGCTATTTCATAAACATTTAATATTAAATATTGCATAAATTAGAATTGAAATTATAATGTGATATTCCATGCATTTCAGACCATTTTTCACTACCAGTAGAGTCATCTTGACAAGGGAAACCCTTTGCAGGAGAAATCTGCTGAAAGTATGCTTCTGTTCCACCTAGCATATTCAAGCCAAGAATATAATCTTTCTTTGGAATGTGCTAACTGGAATATGTTAAAGATAGATCGGGTGGCAAATCTGCAGAGACTTGACTGAAGCAGATGTACCTGGATTGCACGAGCCATAGACACAAAAGTAGCCTTCAGTTTTTATTTCCCTGGAATAAAATTAAACTTCTTGATAATTAAAATACCTATTTATCTTTGGCACTATTGTTAACTTCTGACTAAATATAATTTTATTTACTTTCTGTGAGAGACTATTGAAATGGTTTTAATAATAATTAAATATTGTCATTATTGGAGTTCCACCTAAATTTTTTTAAAAAAATCTTCATCTCAGGCCTGACTTCAGAATACATTAGATTTTCTTTTGACTAGTTGTTTAGTTGGCAAAATTTTAAATACATGTTTTGAAAGTAATGACTTGAAATACCTTTTATAATGAAGGAATAAGCATGATACTTACGAGAAAACTGAAAATATATTTCTAAATACTCAGTTGCTAGAACCCATTTCCCATATGAGTAGCATTGCCTGCACATCTCACGTCTTAAATTTGTGCATATTCTTTGTGTGTGATTATCCTTTCTTTTGTGGATACAGTAGACAAGACGATGCTGTGAGATTCCCTTTTGTGTTTCTTCATTGTACAAAGTAGATGCATATTTGCCACATGGGAGCAGTGATTGCAAAATTTGCATTTAGTTTTCATTTTTTCTTCTTTCTTTAAAGAAAAAATACCATTTCGTTTCCAAGTCAACTGCCTAAGATTGTAACTTTTTAATGATCGCCTGACTTTAATGCTATCAACAATTATTTATATGATTATGATTATTATTATTTTTTCAACATACTATAAAATTACAATGATCAATAGAAAATGTAAACTGCTCTCACTATAATGGAAAGTTTTCATTATGATAGACTAAAAACAAAACTTGATCATCATAAACTAATTTTTTAACTTCAATTTTTACAGAATATTGAAGAATTTTTTTTTCTTAAGAAAAACTAGATGATTGGAAAATTTCAACTTGAATCTTTCCACGTTATCAAGCGTAGTTTGTTGTTTGGTACTATCGAGTCAGAACCAACTAATAACTGAATCTCCAGCAGATATTCAGAGGCAGTAAATTGTACAGGAAGAGATTGCCCATCTTTTTCCCAAGGAATAGCTAGTGGTAGATTCAAACCTTGTGCCTTTGGGATTACAGCACATTTCCTTACCATGAGGCCTCCAGAGCTCTTGATTAATTTAGCACTTGTTAACAAAAAGCGCGCGCACATATGTGTGTGTGTGTATGTTTCTTTCTACATACATAGATATATTTGTACATGTCTTTTTAACTTCATACTTGTTAACACATTATTTTAAGCATGACTCTTCCCTTTGTGGAGAAGCTAAGTGAAAATTCAGTATTACCAGCTTTTTAGAAACAAATGTTTATAACGAAAACCTGCTTTCCTGGTGTTAAATGCTCATTAGAGATTGTTATTAGAACTATGTCTACAAAAGAGGAGAGATAAGGATGACGGTGGGGAAATATAAGGAAAGTCATAATGTCCCTGGAAATGTCTTTCCTTAAAGAAGAAATAGACTTAAAAAGCTTAATAAGTAATCCAACAATCTTGTAAAAGGGAAATCAGATTCCAGAAACTGGGAATATTAGCATTGGAAAGGGATTTCATGAGCATCTCCTCCAGTCCCGAGTTCTAGGAGGGACTGAGGATTTAAACAGCATGGTGCATACCCTGTAATATGCTAACCTGGGGAAAAAGGACCCATTTTCAAGTTTAGTAGGACGAGGAATTCATTTTACTTGTGCCTTTTCAATGCATGCTTTAGATCATAGAATTTAATTCAAGATCCAGCAAAAGATTTTTACCTTTTCAAGGACTGTAAAGAGTTGTGACCTAGACACCATCAGAATTTTCCATCATTTTACACTAGCCCAGTTGTGTGACATTTTCCTACAGGATTTAACTTCGTTTGCTGCTCTTCAATCAGCAGTTATTAGCTGGACTTAGGGAGCAAGGTTACTTTCCAACTTT